ATAATCGCCATCCTCTCATCATCATAATCACCTCCATATCATCATAGCCAACATCATCACCACCATCATCATAATAAAGATCATTATCATCATCGCCATCACTATCTCACATCATCATCATCGTCTTATCATCATCATCACCATCACCACCATCACCATATACAATGATCATTATCGTCATCATCGTCATCACCACCACCACCATCACTATCATCATCATCATCACCACCACCACCATCATCATCATCATCATCCTTGTCTACAATCGTCACCGCCACCTGAGCACTATCTACGATCATCATCATCATCATCATGACCATCCTCATCTACAATTATCATCGCCACCTGAGCACTATCTACGATCATCATCATCACCATCATCATCTTTATGGTATGTCATGATCAATCCATCACCACGCGATATTTTTTTATATTGGTGTTGGATATTTTTTATTATTGGTGTCGGGATTCCACTGTCTTTTCCTCCCCCTGCGTCGCCTGGATTAAGCAAACAAAGGCCTGAAACCTTCGTCCTACACTCGGGGAACAAGCTTTGGAACCCTTGTTTGCTTGTTTGATTAATCCACGGGACGCCTCAACGGCCCGAAAGCTCGGGCCCTTGTTTGCTTGTTTGCTTAATCCATGGGACGCCTCAACGGCAAGCTTGGTTCCCCAACACCAATAATAAAAGATGTCGTAATAGTAATGGAACGTGCAACAAAGGGTTCTCAAACCTGGGGCGGNNNGGGGAGGGAGGCGGAGGGGCGTAAATCGCAACAGTAAAATGATTACGAGAGAGTTAGTACGGTAAGTCCCGAACATTGAGCCCGCCGTTTTCATTTTGCCGTTCCCAAACACAAGAGGGATAAAAAGGGAGAATAGTGACACAACAGAGATAGTGAAATAGTGAAAAAGCAGCGGTCATAGACTGCTTCTCGTACACGCAACAACAAAAATTCATATCTTCTCCGCATGTACTGTTCTCAGTAAAACTTCATCGCAAATTCCCCTACGCGTTTCGGCCAGGCTAAACACAAGAGGGGAAAAAAGGGAAACAACGAAAAAAGGAGGAATGGACGTTAAATGAGGAGTGACAAGAGGAGGAGAAAATAGGGGCGGACAACGAGTCGTATCCACACAAGCAAGATCGCGACGAAAGGAATTTACAAAAAATGGGACCAAAAGAAAAAACCGCACGAGCGATCCGAGCATATAAATTAGTCAGCTGAAGACGCCACTTGTATACCATCCATAAATAGAGAGAGAGAAAGAGATAGATAGATAGATATCGTATAAAGATAAACAATATGCCCATGGATACATGCGTATGTATGCATACACAATTGCCATGCGTCTCATGCTTATCATGTCCTTATTCATGTCCCAGAGAGAGAGAGAGAGAGAGAGAGAGAGAGAGGGAGATTGATATAGATACAGGTAGAAAAGGTAAGGCAACATCAAATAAATAAATTGATACTATAGATAGATAGATAGATAGAAAGATAGATAAATAGATAGATAAATAGATAGATCGATAGACAGAAAAATCTCTCTCTAAACAGAACTGCCCGGCGAACCGTAGGCAGAGAGGGAGAAGAGGACAACAAACGAGGAAATGTGCCACATAAATACATCAAGATGCCGCAGGCATACATTCTAAACAGGCTGTCACCGCCCCTCGTCTCTTGTCCTCTTCTCCCTCCCTCCCTCTCTGCCTACGGTTTACCGGCCAGCTCTGTTTGACAATATATATAGTCAAACAGAGGAGCCGCCCGGTAAACCGTAGGCAGAGAGGGACAAGAGGGAGAAGAGGACAACAAACGAGGGAGGGGCTGTGACAAAAACTGTTTCGACGGAGTTTCACCGACACATCAGGAGGCTGAACACAATTTATATATACATCTAGGCCACCAGCCGGGCCGCCCAGGTCACCCTATTTTCCCGGGCGGCCCGGCCGTGCCGGGACCAGGGAAGGTCCCAGCCAAAAAAAAAAAAAAAAAAATCCACGAAGTCCGGAAAAAAAAACTGTGTTATGCAGAAAAATAAACTGAACAACTTTTGCCTCAGGGTCACATCGAAATTCTTTACAAAATTTAAAATAAAATTTTTAATTAAAAGTATATATATATCATATATCGTCCGTCACAAACAGAACTGCCCGGTAAACCGTAGGCAGAGAGAAAGAAGAGGACAACAAACGAGGGGCTGTGGCAAACTGTTTCGTCGGAGTTTCACCGACTCATATATATATATATCGTCACATAGATATCAGAGCGCAAAAGCGAAAAAAAAACAAACAAAGGAAACAAAAAAATATCAATTCATTTTTTAACTTCTTCCTTACAAGACTTCCCCTGTTCAGAACCTCTTGCGTACAATATCTTTTTGGCCCGGCCGGGCAAGTGGACCCGGGCCACTCTGGTAGCCTAGATATACATGCATATACATCGCCAAAACGATCAGCCCGGTAAACCGTAGGCAGAGAGGGAGAAAAGGACAACAAACGAGGGGCTCCGAAAGCTCACAAAATTTAAAAAATGGACAGCTGATTAGGACACTCGGTCACTGACCTTCTCCCACCTTTTTTTTCCTTTAACCTCATCATACATCATAAGCCCAATCAACAGGGAAGACACTGATTATACACACCTCAATGATTGTAGAATGCAAGGCGTAATCCATTTCGATGATACAGGGAAAAAAAGGGAAGGGGAAAAAAAACCATCTTAGAGAAGACACTGATTATACTGACCCAAATGATTACAGTGATGAATCATTTTCGATGATAGCGGGCTAAAAAGGGAAAAGAAAGAGCTATCTTAGTGAATACACTGATTATACTGTACCCGATGATTAAAGATTAATCATTTTCAAATGACAGAACAGGAAAAGACAAACGCTATCTGGTGAAGACGATTATTATCCTGACGCCGATGGTCAGACTGACTAAATCTTCCATACTTTTTTCCCCTAAAGTTATTAATCATCCTACACAGAGATGGCTATTTTCCACACACACCAACGATATCGGAACTCCATATCTAAAATACTTTTTTTTTTTTTTTTTTTTTTTTTTGGTGCGTTTGCTGGAGTAATGGGCACATGCTTCTATATTTTACTGCATTCGCATGGGAGTAGCACAGCCACGAAATCAACTTCTCTTAAGTTTGTTGCTAATAATCGTGCTACCGTCTTTTCACCCGAATAGAACGCCGGGTCAATATAGCCGTATTTGGAGCAGCTTTCAGCCCAGGTGCAGCCATAATGACCGGGCGTTGTATTCGGGTGAAACCCGGTCATTATAATCGTGCTACCGTCTTTTCACCCAAATAGAACGCCGGGTCATTATAGCCGTATTTGGGGCAGCTTTCAGCCCACGTGCAGCCATAATGACCGGGCGTTCTATTCGGGTGAAGACGGTACGATTGCGTTATAATTTGAATGAGATGATTACAGAAAACACCCTGCTCTGCTCTTCCTAATCGCCATAAGGGTTCAGGTGTCCGATGCTGACTATCTGATTAAGTACAGATTTTCATTACTTTAGGGATTGCCCCCACCATATTAAAACGGAAAAAGAAAAACGGGAACGGAGGAGGGGTGGGGAGTCGATAACCCTTGACATTCTGTTCTGAAACGTGCTACAGACCTACAGAAGAACACTTTATTTATTAAAAAAATAATAAAAAAATACCGCGTGAGCTCCTAAGCTACACATCGGTCAACACCCATGGGTGCGACCCACAGCAGCTTTTAATCCACAACAATACCCATGCAAGTTCACCTGGTCTTATAAATCTTTTACCTCGTAATTTAAAATCTTCGTTTCCACACACACCCCTCCCCCCCCGCTCTTTTTTTTTTGTTGGGGGGGGGGAGAAGAACAGAAGGAGGGGGCGGGGAAAACACATTCACCCTTGGCATTTCGTGGACATGAGAATTGCACAGCAACCACAACTCAAGGGCTCTAGATTCCAGTCCAATGAAGGAAATCTCTCTCTCTCTCTCTCTCTCTCTCTCTCTCTCTCTCTCTCTCTCTCTCTCTCTCTCTCTCTCTCTCTCTCTCTCTTTCTCTCTTTTCTCTAGGCATTCTGAGGAACCGCCTGGGGAAAGAGGAGAGAGAGAAGGGAAGAAGGAGAAGGGGAGGCCGAGAGAAGAAACAGGAGCGAGCTCGTGAATAGCGAAAGTCGCAAAAAAATTGAAATGCACCGTTCTTCCTTTTTTCTCCTCTTTTTTTAAAAGTTCTCCGGACCAAAGAGAGAAGCTGTGCCAAAGAAGAAGCGGAAGACTTCCAAAAAGTGAGCCGAGGCGGCGAGGAATGGACAAGCCAGGTATCCAATACGGCCAGAATGTAGGGAATCTTCAATACAGTAATATTCTGAGAAATCAAAAGCAACACAATCTCACCCGCAAACACACAAACAGACTGAGCAAACGTACACAACACACACACACACACACACACACACACACACACACACACACACACACACACACACACACAGAGGAATATTCTGGATGTACAAGACCGTAATTACGGGCGGAGTCGGGAGAAAAAGGTCCTTAGTCTATCAGCTCAATTCAAGCGCGAGCGCACGCGTGCGAGAGAGTGTGCGTGTGCCTGTGCGTGTGAGAGAGAGAGTGTGCGTGTGTGTGTGAGAGAGAGGGAGTGCGTGTGTGTGAGAGAGAGAGAGTGCGTGTGTGTGTGTGAGAGAGAGAGAGTGTCTCAAAGTGTGTGTGATAGAGACACAGAGAAAATGAGAAACAAGAAGGCAGAGAGATCGGAAGGAAGAGGAAGAGGAAGAGGGAGGAAGACGAGGAAAGAAATCGATGAAGGGGAAGAAGAGAAAAACGACACGGACAAAGACGAGACAAGGCACACCCATGCATCCATGGCAAATCAAAAACGGGCAAAGCAAGGCGAGCGTTCACACGAGGTGTGATGCATGGGCTTCGTTCATTAACTATAGTCCAATAGCTTACGGACACGGGTCACCCACCTGTTGTGAGTATCGTTATCAAGCTCCGCTCATCGTACAGGATGGAGATTCCTGCAACGTTGTCCATTTCTTGTCCACCACTGACGCTCACGAGATCGATGATCGTCTCCTCCATTGCTCACCAACTCAGCAGAAAAACAAATCACACCAGAACCTCTCTCTCTCTCTCTCACGTGCGCGCGCGTGCACATACACACACACACCACCTATAACTCGTTGTCCCACACAAACCACCTCCAGCACTCGCTCCTTCTGCCACTTTTCCAAGCGAACCTCTCGAGGAGATTCTGTGTCTCCCTCGATTTGATCGGTGGACCGATCTACAGCAAGCACCAGCGATTCGTGTAGGAGGAGGAGATGCAGACCGGAGAAGAAGGAACGTAATGACGGTCCATTCGTGCACTCACTATGAATGGGAGAGGAGAGAGACAGAAAACGTGACAGAGCTGAAAAATGGCACTCTCGGCAGACCAGATGGAAGAGAAGTGGAAGGTCGGATGATGTCGTGGCAAGAGAAAAAATGATGGAGAAAACAAGTTAGACAGCTTAAGCACGATAGACAAGGGGAATGGATAAGGAGACAAAAATGATGGAAAAGAAGTCAGGCGAGAGATCCTCCCATCCCAGTCGACCGTTCGCGAGATAGATGGGAAAAAGGTTCACAACGACGTATAAACCGGTAGTGGGAACTATTCTGGTGTCGGATTTCGGCAACCGGCAGCTGACTGCAAAATGTAGCGGCTAAGCAAGTCATACACAACGGGTACAGCAGACTGCGGCATAATTGCTGCTAACACCAATTACAATCCTCCTTGGGCACATTAAGAACAGACACAAACAAAAGGAAAACGACATAACAAGACAATGGTCAAGACCGGAGCAGTACCGACATCCTCTCTCTCTCTCTCTCTCTCTCTCTCTCTCTCTCTCTCTCTCTC